TCTGTCTGAAGTAATTATATTTCGTCAATTTCACACCATTCGATATGTGATCTACATCTTTGTCCATACAAAGCTTTGAATTTTACAATTCTAATGTTTGAATGGTAGCTTTATCATATGTAAATTCAATAAAGGGCAAGTGATCACCCCAACTTTCTCTAAAATCTAAGGTTGTCTTTAACATATTCTTGAGAGACTGAATGGAGCGTTTTGTCTGATCATTTGTCTATGGGTGGAAAATGTATTGAGATAAGCTTGTATTCCCAAACTTTTCTTAAACAACACCAAAAATTGTTGTGAACACAACACCTCTTTCAACTTGTCCTTGAGTTCAAAACATGTATTACAAGTAAATAATAATTGGTTTTCACATTATCATGTAAGTTTATTTCACTCATGATATATATTTTATTGTTATTTTATTCATGGTACCGATTTTAAAACTTTGTCATCGTTTAATTAATGATATCAATTTCAAAATCCATAAAAGTTTGATTTTTTACAAGTTCAAACTCCACAAAATCGTTCCTAAAATTCAAACTTCAGTAACTTTTTGAACAAATGTGTTGAAAGTCAACTCAATTATGTATGTCATGTTTTGTGTGTTTTATATTTTCTCTACAAGCATTTGTTCGGAGTAATATTTTTGCATTAAATGGTCACTTTCTAGTTATATTTGAAATAATAGCTAAATTTTGATGGTTGATTTGAAAACTGATCATCCAGTCTAATTTTTACGGTTTTTAGTAGATGAGCCTGTTTGGATTGGCTTAAAGGTTGTTCAAACCTACTTTTAAGTCAGTCTTTGATTTCTGAAAGTGTTTGATAAATATAAAAAAATAACTTAAAATAAGTCAAAAATGACTTAAAATAAATTACGAAGTGTTTCGCAAGGTAGAAAAATGACTTAAAATAAATCAGAAACCAAAAGTAGGTCTCCCCCTACTTTTGTTTTTACTTAAAAGTCATTTTAGTTTGATTTTTTATTTTTAACTTAAAAATTACTTTTTTTAAACCAATCCAAACGGGCTCTTAAAACTTCGAATACTTTGGTAGAGTAACTATTTCTCATATAAAAACTTGATATTTAAAAGGTGGCACTAAACTTGACTTCTCAAGTAATATATTGGATATAATTCATATTTGTAGGAATCCTGTTTCAGATGTATTCTAATTTGCCAGCTCTACCCGTTGCGTCTAGGATCCTGTTTTAATCAACAAAGTTGTTTTTCAATTCTTTTATTCTTTTATCTCAATTTATGTGTCACTTTTTTTTTAATATTTTAAAAAAAAAAACCACCTTTCTAGATTGGAAATAAACTTAACTTTGAATTTCTCTTTTTTTCTTTAGTCTTTTTACAAGTATACAGTTAGCGTGTCAATTGTCAATCTCTCAATATGGAGATAACTAATTTCAATTCAATTCTCTATTTTACACCCCCAAAAAAATTCTCTCTCTTTTTAATATTATATTATTATTTTTATTTTTATTTTTTTATTTCATATTATAAATCTTTTCTTATTTTTCCAAATAATCATCATACATAATCGTCATGTAATATAAATTATATTTTATTCTAATTTCTTAACAACATAAAATAAAAATGAAATCATAAAATACAAGTACATAAATATTGCATCATCATGTAAATTTTATAGAAATACTCAATTTTTAAGATTGTTATGTTGCTCCTATAAAACTAAAGTTTGGCATTATATTGTCGAGTATATAAAATTTAAAAGTAGTAAAAGTGAATTGGGTACATGAAACAAAGAATTAAAGTTTAAAAAGTTAATTAATTGAGTAGCACTACAAACATAAACAATAATCCAAAAAAAAAAGGTTACAACACAAAAAGAACGTTATTGATCATCAACTGATCTCTCTCTTTAACAGTTGATTGTTATGATTACAATTTCTTCCTCCCCCATGGCGTAGCATTTCCATCGAATAGCTCATCAATGTCTGTTTCAATTTCTTCAGGTTGGTACTTTACATACTTCTCCGTCTGCCTTCCCGGAGTAAATGTTTGACTAAACCTTCCCAAGAATGACCTGTAGGCTGGTATAACCATGTTTGATATGGAAACTCTCAGCTCCGACTGCAATTGCTCGTCGCTAATAACCCAACTGCTCTGCGTCTTGTGTATCTCGTCAAACAATGCATTGAAACTCTTGAACCTCTCTTTCAATATTGGTTTATTCACTTTCCCATTCACATTCAATCCCTCATGGTTTAAACATTGCAACAATTTACCCCACGTTTCTCTTTGGTAATTCTTGTGGTACTGTCTTAGATCTGAAGATCGCTTTCTGTACCATTGATCCCCCATCAGGCTATTGATCTCTGGAGATCCTTTTATTTTTTGCAAGATGTATCGTCCGTTATTCATCATGAATATTGAGCTGAGTGAAGTGTCTTTGTAAAGCCTTGATTTTCCCTCCAGATTTGAATCCAATAGATCCATGACTTTTATCATATGAGTCTCGAAAGGTGATGATGTATGATGATTACTCTGACCCGCTTGTGGATTTTGGCAGTCAAAGTCTGATCCCGTGGCTGAGTCAGCTCTTTCTATCATCTGATGTTCTCTGAATACCTGCTCTAAGGTGTCTCTGTACTCGCCTACATATTTCAGATAATTCATGATGTAGCGAGTTAAAGGATGAACAGCACCACCTGGAACCGGTGTCTTGTTTGAGTCCCCCTGGATTGAGTTTTCCAGCTCCGAAAAGATAGAAACCATGGATTCTCCTAAACGTCCCCGACTCAATGTAGCTTCAGCCTTGAGTTCATCAGCGTAAGAAACCGGAAATATCTTATCCACCAAAGGAATAAAATCCCGCAAAGTCTCATAAATGTCGAGAAACTTGAAGAGTTTTTCAGCAGCCCGTTTTGTCATAGAAACGGCTTCAGCGAAATTAAGGAGTTGGATCATCATACCTCGAGACAAATTGCTGAAGATGGTCTCAGAAATTGATGGTTGGTCCTCAAACACGGCATCGGCGAGCTTGCGTTCACTGGAGAAGAGCACATTAGTGCAGTGCCTGAATGTTGCAATCCAAGCAGTAACCTCTCTCTCCAATGGTTCCCAATTCATCTTTTGCACATCGTCGATGCTATATTTTTCAAACCCAAGCTTATGCAAGCTTTCCTCCAAAGCTTTCCTCCGTGCGATGAAATAGACCTGACAGCATTCTGTTTCGTAGCCTCCTGCAATCAAGGCTTTGGAAAATTTATTCAAGGTGGCTACGATTTCCTCAGAGTAGCCTGGAAATTTATTTTCTTCAGAAGCAGAGTCTTGTTCTGCATCTTGATTGGTGTCTGATGATGAATAAGAATTAGGGTTAGGGTTAGGGTTAGGCTTGGCAGAAGAAGTGTCTGAATTGGTGATATCTGAATCAGTATTGATCTTGTACTCGTAGAGGATTGACTTGTATTCTTCCTCTATGTAGGACATTGCTCGTTGAAGAACACCATCAACACGGCTGATTGAATAAGCATATTTGTACTCTGTAGAAAATCGACAGAGGGAGGTAAATAGCTTGGAGATTCGATCTACAATATCCAAAAATGATGTGGCTTCCTCCTGAGCTAGCTGGCTCCATTTGACGGGTGCATCGCCACCATCATATTCATCAATCTTAGCCTCAACAAGAACAGCAAATTGTTCTACAAACACAGGAACATCGGGAGGCTTAGATTCATCATCATCCCCTTTTAAGTTTGACGATTCAGAGATAAATTGATCTATTTCTTCTGAAACCTTATCGAGATCAGGAGGCAGGGGAGAAGAAACTTCAACCTTGACCTCTTCGTCGTCGTCGTCATCGTCTGTCTTGGCACCATCATCATCTGTTGTCTTGATGACTCCATCGTCTGTTGGCAGTTGTTCAACAATCTCTGCTTCTGTAGACTCTGTTTCATGGGGAGGAGGAGCTTCGTCTGGAATATCTGGCTGTTTGTCATTGCATATTGTTTGATCAGAAGTTTGTGTTAGATCCATAATTGTAATTGAGTGAGAGAGAGAGTGAGTGAGGGAAGGGAAACTTTACAATTTAGCAGGTGTGTGTGTAGGAAAAAATTGAGCTTACATTATCAAAAAGAGTAAACAAATTGAGATGTTGAAGGAAATGTGAAAAGTGTTGTGATTGGAGATGCAGCGAGCAAATCGACGAGAAAGGAAATGTGTGCGGATGCACATTAATTAGTTAGTTACCCTTTAACTTCCACTCTTGTCCACGTCTAATATTCTAAATGCCATAAACTTGCACGAATCAAGGACGGCCTCTACCACTCACAATCTCCATACCACATTCGCATCTAATCCAAAATATTACACTACTTTGCTTTTTGGAATAAACAATGGTAACCTCCATTTTATTAAAATCAATTCATCAACGCGTGCAACTTAAAATTTTAATTTGATACCCTATCTTAAGTATGAATCATCACGACTTCTATGAAATGTTATAAATTCCAAATACATTAATGTAGTTAGAAATAAACGACATAGACTTGAGATACACACATTCTCTCAATCTTTTCTCCAAACAGTGAGCTTATATAACATCATGTTGTAGTCACTGTTATAAAACAAATGATTATGGGAACATTGATAGATTCAGGAAAGATTTTATGTCCGAAAATGATCACTTTTAAAAAAGCAAAATGAAGTTGAGTTAACATTTTAAAAAAATTCACTCGTTTTTTATTTATTTATAAAATAATGATTTTTTAAATTATCAATTCAAACCAATAAATGAGAAATTGTTTATTAGATGACATAAAAGCAAGAAAAAAAACACAAAACTGTTTAAATAGTTTTTTATTAAATTAGGGATAGGGAAGAAGAAATGAGGAGGAGGTGGAAGTGTCAACAACAAATCAGGTAAGATAAGTTGGGGAAAGGAAACAAGTCATGATGCCAAGCCCATTAGATTGATTAGTTATGTAAGTGTACACAGGCCCGACCCATACGTATTTATTATTATGTGATTGTAAATATGAGATTAGAGGAATAAATTAAAGATGTTAACCCTAAGATGGGAAATGCAAGATGCAGATGGAGAATGTGATTAGGATCGGAGAAAAAGAAAGAATCAATGGGTCCCTATTGTCCATGCTTCGGGATCGGGAGCAAGAAAAGGGAGATCAACTTGAAAACCAACACTAATTACGTCCCTATTGAACCAACTAGGGACCCTCCTAATCCTATCAACTCTCATCTTCCTCCAGGTTCCCTTCCCTTCCCATCCCATTTCAATCTACAAACTTAATTAACTCTCCATCCTCAAACAATGTAAATGGTTTTTCAACAAGTAGTAATGCTTTTCTTTTTTAATGCCAGATAATCCCATCACACTGCTGGAGCCCAGACAGCAACTACTGATATCAAAAGATGATTCTCCTCCGAGAAGCAACCTTCCAACTTTTTCTTACCGGGATCTTGCAACCGCCACAAACAATTTCAGGCGAGAATCCATTATCGGGGAAGGTGGCTTTGGGCCAGTATTCAAAGGGCAACTTACAACTAGTCAGGTGATTTTCACTATATCTAATGTCATGCATGTGTTTTGGTCATTTCAAATTCATCATCATACTTTATTATCTGTAACCATTCAGGTTGTGGCTGTTAAGAAGCTAAATCATTCAGGTCTTCAAGGGGATAAGGAGTTCTTTGTCGAGGTTCACATGCTCTCACTGATGCGCCACCCTAACCTGGTTAATCTAATTGGTTACTGCACTGAAGGAGAGCAGCGTCTTCTTATCTATGAATTCATGCCTCTAGGATCTTTGGCATATCATCTCCATGGTAATTATATTCTCACTCATACAGTTTATGTGATTTAATTTGGATTTCTAACAAATACATTCTTATTTGTCTACCTGCACCAATCTGTTAATATTATTCTTCAGAGCTGTAGATTCATGCATTATTTGCTATTAACTTTTGGATCATCTTTGATAGCTTAACTCATTTAGAGCCCATTTGGATTGACTTTAAGTCAAAAAATAAAAAAGTAGGGGAGACCTACTTTTGATTTTTAACCTTTTTAAAGTCATTTTTAACTTATTTTAAGTTATTTTTAACCTTGCTAAACACTTCCAAAAGCTAAAAATGACTTCAAAGTAGGTTTGACCAACTTTTGAGCCAATCCAAATAGACTCTTAAGCTTGAAACAAGTCCATTTTCAGAATATCCTTGAAGATATGAAGTTATTGTTATCATTCTTTAATACTCATTCACTTCTGTTTTCATTATTTTTTGTTCTTTATCGAGGAAGTCTTCACTTCTTTACGGCTGCACTGCCAAATTTGATGGATATCAACTGCCCTTCTTTTACTCCTCTCTGTATTATTCAATTAACCATTCATTAAATTTCTTGATCCTATTTGTGGTTGTCTGCCAAAGTTGTTACTATGTATGTGTGTTTTAGCTTGGTGGGAACTTTTCCATCTTTACTTTACTTGATTTGAACTGAACTTTTTTTCTGTAGAATTTTTTAAAATTGTACATGCATCAGAGGATGCAACTATTATATGCATTTTTCCTCTAAAGTATAAAATGTGTTGATTAAGAGTATAATGTGCAGATATTACGCCTGACATGAAGCCATTGGATTGGGATACCAGGATGGTAATAGCATCTGGTGCTGCCAAAGGCCTGGATTACCTTCACAACCAAGCTGATCGTCCTGTTATCTACAGGGACCTTAAGTCGGCAAACATATTATTGGGTGAGGGTTTCCATGCTAAACTTTCTGACTTTGGTCTTGCAAAGTTTGGCCCAATTGCAGACAATACACATGTTTCAACTCGGGTAATGGGCACTCATGGGTATTGCGCACCTGAGTATGCTGGAACCGGAAAACTGACTATGAAATCAGACATTTATAGTTTTGGTGTGCTCTTGTTGGAGCTAATTACTGGATGTAGAGCAATGGATGACTCTCATGAACATGGAAAAGAAATGCTTGTTGACTGGGTAATCACTTCACATTTAATTGATTGAAGTCAGTATACTTAGCAAGCTGGAAAATAAACCAACTTTCAAACATAAATACATGTAACAAATGGTATAAGTTTTTGTTTCACTATTTAAAAATGTCTGTGCGTCCTTTCTTGACTCTACCATCTATTACTTCAGCTTTGAAGCATAAAGTTTTATTAGTGTTGCATAGTTCTATCAACATGTCAAAGGTATTTTGGTTGAAGGAGCACAAAGTTACTGGAAAATGAGAATGACTGATCTATCTAGTGATTAAATACCATCTTTGCACGGTTCTGACCATTGAAATGTATCATAAACTAAATCGTTTCATTTGTTTTTCTGAATGAAAAGTGTTGAGATTATTGATAACATTAGGCTCCTGTTTTGTCAGTTTCTGTTTGTGCGCTAAGGGTGAAGTTTACTTGCCACTTCTCAGGCACGTCCTATGTTGAAAGACCGCATGAACTATGTACAATTAGCGGATCCAATGTTAAGAGGCAAGTTTCCACAATCTGTCTTCCGCAGGGTAGTAGAACTGGCCTTAATGTGTGTTCAGGATGATCCCCATGCTCGACCTCACACGAAAGACATTGTGCTTGCTTTGAGTTACTTTGCATCCCAAAAGCATGATTCACATGCAGGTCAGTCAAATCAGATTGGATCTCAGGGAGACGGGAGGACATCCCCTGTTGAAGAACTAACGAATGGAAGCTCTGTTGATTTTAATGGAGCTCAGATCGATGTAACAGATATAAGAGCTTTGAACAAGGATCAAGAGCGGGAGCGAGCTGTTGCAGAGGCCAAGAAGTGGGGCGAGACCTGGAGAGAGAAAGGGAAACAGAATGCGGATGATGATTTAGATTATAAATCAAGGTGGTGATTGCAAGTTAGTTTCCTTGTCAGAGAACTTCGGGTTTGTATTCTGAGATTATCATAAACACTACCAGGGCAGCAGCAGCAGGAACATTTACTCTCATGCGAGTATCTGTGGCAGCAGAGCTAGCATTTTTATTAAGAGGTTTATGCACAAAGGACACATAGTATGTATATAAAAAAGAAATTCTTTTATCATCTACAGAGTGTAATTTTTCAGCAAAGTGACACCCCCTGGATACATTTGGGATGTATTTGTATGCTTGACATAATAAATTCAATAGAGATTGATTGACGACACAACAGTATATGGCATTTATCATTAAGAAGTACTACTAATTAGGTTTTGTTTATGTTTGTTCAAGTACTAACCAAGCAAACAAGATGTTTGTTGGAAGATTATGCTGCATTAAAATATAGGCATCCACATGGATTAAGGATTCAAGAGTAATAATGTAAGAATTGTACTGTAGAGAGATTAGTAATGCAGGTATGGATCTTCTTATTTCACTTTTTATCCCTCAAAATATCATAAATAAATTCATGTATGGGTCCATGGTTCGGTTTGAATTGGTTATTGGTTAAAATCAAAACCAAACCAATTTGTTTTTAAATTTCTAAAACCAAATGAAAAAAATAATTGTTTGGTTGTTGTCGGTTTGGTTCGGTCTGGTTCAGGTTTTTTGCTTTTTTCGATTTGAAAGTAATTAATTAAATTTGTTGAGAGTATACGCATCTCGATAGACACAAACACCTAATATATGAACAATCCACAAGAAAGTTATTAGGAATTCAATTAAGTAATAGTAGAGTTATTATTACACGAATAAAGAGAATCAATTAAGAAAAAATGTGACTATCTAATGTGACGTAGGGTAGGTAAAAATTAAAGTAATAGATTTCGATGGACTTGATCTTAGGGTCGTTTTGGGAACAAGTTATCCCAAGAATAATTATCCTGAGATAACTTATCCCACCATGTATATGTGATAACTTATCCATCACTATGGTATAAATGGTGGGATAAGTTATCCCAAACATGGCAACCAAACAAGAAACAAAATTTTTATTCCATCACTATTTATTTTTATCCCTCACACCAAACAACCATTTTAATAGTTGGGCTAAAAATTAAGGGTGAGCTTGAGAAAATGGTAAAGTTAAGACTTAAGTTAATTAAAATTTAACAGAATATTTATATTTTATTTATGAATAATATATAAATAAATATGAAATTTATATATATAATTTCTCTGTTTGGTTTGGTTGTTTTTACGGTTTTTTTTTTAGTAAAACCAAAGTCAAACCAAATGATATCGATTTTCAAAATTTAAAACTAAATTTAATTAAACCACACCAAATATCGATTTTTAATTACTTTGATTTAAATTGTTGTTGGTTTGATTTTTTAACAATAACCATGAACAACCCTATATCTATATGGGAGTACTCCATTATTTATGGAGACAACAAAAACAAATTAAAGTGGTGAAAATAAAAAAGGAAAAAAAATAAGGTCCTACCGGGAGTCGAACCCAGGTCGCTGGATTCAAAGTCCAGAGTGCTAACCACTACACCATAGAACCAGTTGAAGAATGTTTTCAGCTTTTTCTAATTTATAATAAAAGTAAAATGTCAACATCATCTCGTGCCCAATCACCAATGTTAATTTTCAGTCCACAGAAAAAGGTTTGGCGTTTAACTGAAAAATAACATACTACATTCTTTTATTATATTTCTCTACCTTTAATAATACTTGTAATTATACGTCAATATTTGAAAGTTTAATTGACATCAATTCTATTTACATTATTTAAGCACAATAAATATTCTCTTTTTTTTCCTGATGAACTCCTTAAAAGTGGAAGAAATAATACTATAAAACTGACAAACAGGGTCATTTGGTTGGTGGGTGAGTTAACTACTTAATTTCATTACTCTAGTACAAAATGTATTTCAAAACTAATTTGATATTTGTAACTAAAAATACAAAATAAAATAATACTCCTATTGTTATCTATCCCAAACAAAAATAGGAGGGCAAGGGAAGAAGAAAAGGAAACAAAAGTTGATGGGGTCCACACTCCAGTAACTCACCCAACAATAATATGCCACGTCAGTTTGACCATCCTGTAAAGTGAGAAATGGGTCCCCTACCAAACCAAACCAAACCCTTGTTTTCCTTTTACACTCTCTTTACCCTCATGCCTTGTCGGCCCATTTAACCAAAACACTACTACTCCTTCCCTTCACCGGAATCTGACTGTTTCGCCGGCAAATTTTATCGCCGGGTAGTCGCTCTCACTTTAGTGCTTATATATTCTTATCAACGTTTGCTGCTGGAGATCTCGATTCCTGGGGGGCCATAATAGAGAGGAAGCCCCAGAGATGTATGTGGTTCCTCCTCCGAAACGACCCGATCCATTGTCTGGATCCATTAATGAGTCGGATGACTTGCGGATTTACCAGACATGGAAAGGAAGCAATGTAAGTATTAGCTATTCCATTATTTTCTACTACCTCTTAAAGCTTTAACTATAGTTTATTGACACTGTTACAACTTGCTATCTCATTACAAACTAAAATCCATCAGCCTGGTTTAAAAAAGACCCAAGGAGTAGAAATATAGCTTTGAGATATATGACAAAAGAGAAATCCTGAAGATTATTAGTTTTTAGTGGCCAAGCAACACGTAGGAGGATGTGCTCATTCTAGCTTATGTTACTCTATTTTGGTTTGTGCTATTTTACTTCTCAGAATGAGGTTTTACTTAGAGTAGGACATTGTTGATTATTTTATCTCAATTCTAGGAAAAACTTCTTTTGGTAGTCCCTATACTGATCATATGCTCATCTAAAACTGAATATCTTTCCAGCTGTTCATGTGTTGAAAAATTACTTCTTGATGTACTGAAAAGTGATCATCAAACTTCCTATGTTAAAAATAGATAAGTTCTCTCTTTACATAAGGAAAAAGAAACGTTTCTGTGAGACGTGAGTAGAGTTTTGCGATGCAAACAGAATTTATGCCAGTTTTTTCTTTATTTCTGACTGTTAATGTTCTTCTCTGAGCAGATATTTTTCTTCCAAGGAAGGTTCATATTTGGGCCAGACGCAAGATCCCTAGCACTGACCATATTTCTCATAGTGGCCCCTGTCTCAGTTTTCTGCGTCTTTGTTGCTAGAAAGCTGATGGATGATTTTTCAAATCACCTGGGGATATTGATTATGGTTGTAGTCATTGTGTTCACATTCTATGTAAGTTCTCTCCCTAGTTTTCATTGATTGTAACATCAGATTTAGTGTTCTACTGAACAAGCTTACCTGCAGTTTATGATTGCAATTGCAGAGAACACAATAGCTGTATAAGTTGTCTGTATTTAATCTCACAGTTACTGGAAACAAAATTCTGAGTATTGGATAATTACTTAATCTGTGTTGCCTTGGAAAAATTCCAAGTATTAGAAAATCAATGATCTCAAAATTGATAAGATGTCAAACTTGTTGGCACTGCATTTCAAGGATGTAAGTTGGGCTTGGTTGTGTTAATAGTCTTCGATTTGACTGTTAAGTGGCTGTCCTTACAATGAAAAGGATTGGCAACCTAATTGCATAACTTTTGCAAGGTTTCTTCCAATTTGTATGGCTAATAGTTTCACATTTGAATCTTACAGGTTTTAGTTCTACTCCTTCTCACATCTGGAAGGGATCCAGGAATAATTCCTCGTAATGCACACCCTCCAGAACCAGAAGGTTATGATGGTACTGTAGAAGGTGGTGGACAAACCCCTCAATTACGTTTGCCACGCATTAAAGAAGTTGAGGTCAATGGCATTACCGTGAAGATCAAATACTGTGACACCTGCATGCTTTATAGACCTCCCCGTTGTTCTCACTGTTCAATCTGCAATAACTGCGTTGAAAGATTTGACCATCACTGCCCTTGGGTAGGGCAATGCATTGGGCTGGTAATAGTTTTTTTTTTTTTTTTTCCTAACATATTTTTAGTTGGTACCACCACACTAGTAAATGATATGCTCTCTTTTCAGTTTTACTTTTCACTGCTTGATATGTCTGATGAACTATTGCATATAATCTGATATGAAGAGTTATCAGACATTTTATCATAATCACGCTCTTTCTTTCTGCTTGGAAACCTCATAAAAAGATACTAACAAAAGACTGATTCTTTTACTTATAAAAACAAATAAATGTAAGACTGGTTCTATCTTCTTTATCTTTTTTAAAAAAAAATTACCTATTCACTCTAATGTCAATTCGCGAAAACAAGTAAATTTCGTAAAATGTCTAAAGTTAACTTGTAGAGTTGTTGTCTGAATGAAGCAATGCTGTGGATCTGAAGTATTAGATCCTCAAAGCATCGTGAAATTCAGCTCAAGTATATAAATTATGTTAAATTGTTAATAATAATGTATGAATCAAACTCTTTTTACCATTGATGCTGTTGGTAGCAGGAGGAAGTTCAAAGGTTTGTAACTGAGCATTTAGTTCAAATGGCCATCATGCAGACAATTATATGTTTTAGAAATATTTAGCTCTCTAGATCTTTGCGGTGGAAATAAGTTAGAGGGTTTAGTACACATATGCACATGTATAAGTTTCACATTTCGACTGAAATCTTTTTGTCGTTGCGTACAGTACTTGCTGTCGTGAGTCTGAGATTTATGATGGTATGAAGTTGGGCTGGTCAATTTACCTGTTAACGTCAACGTCCACATTTGATTTCAGAAATATCTATAGTCCATTTGCTTGCGCTGATAATTTCTATAACAAATGCATCTTTAAAAATGGATCTAGTGTTGATGTCTTGGACTCTTTCCTTACGTTGCACAGATTTCTGAAACTTGTGTCTTTTATTGCAGCGAAACTACCGTTTTTTCTTCATGTTTGTCTTCTCTACAACACTTCTTTGCATATATGTTTTTGGGTTCTGCTGGGTCTACATTAAGAGAATCATGGTTCTAGATGACACCACCATATGGAAAGCAATGATCAAAACACCGGCCTCCATTGTTCTGATAGCATACACTTTTATATCAGTGTGGTTTGTTGGAGGTCTTACTGCTTTTCATCTATACCTCATCAGTACTAATCAGGTATGTTCATGGATTGAAATTGTATGCTTCCCTTTGTTTATCTAAGGTGGTTTGGATTTTGATGTGAACCGTGAGTGATGTCTATTTTCTGGGTACTGCAGACTACTTATGAGAATTTTAGATACCGATATGATTGGCGTGCCAACCCCTACAACAGAGGAGTGATACAGAATTTCAAGGAGAT